CGATGAGCTGCTTGATTTTGTTGAAGTCTCTGGTGTGAGATGCACACCAGTCGTACTCCACATCTTCTTTGAGTAGCTCACGGATGCTTGCTGTGTGATCTGCAAGTCTTGGAATGAATGAACTCATGTACTGTATGAGCCCTAGGAAGCTCCTTAGCTCCTTCTCGTCCCGAGGTTCTTCCATGTTTGTGATGGCTTCTACTTTCTCGGGGTCTGGTTTCACGCCATCTGCAGAGTAGATCATGCCAAAGAACGTGCACTCGCTTTCTTTGATGGTGCATTTTGCTGCGTTGAGCTTGATGCCAGCTTGTCTGGTCTTCTCCATCGCTTCGTGGAGGTGCAGGTCATGATCTCTCTCTGTTTTGCCGAACACTTGGATGTCGTCTGCAATACCTATTGCTCCTTTGCATCCTCTGTACGTCTCGTCTACCTTCCTCTGGAATACATCTTGACTGACCTTTAACCCGAACGGAAGGCGGTTGAACTTGAACCGCCCGAAGGGTGTGTTGAATGTGGTCAGGAGAGATGACTCTTCGTCTATCTTGATGTTCCAATACCCGTTGCTCGCGTCGAGCTTGCTGAAGATTTTGGCTCCGGCAAGGGATGGTGTTATCTCTTCCAGTGTGGGAGTTGGGTAGTGATCTCGTTTGAGTGCGTTGTTCAGGTCTCTCGGATCTAGACATACTCTCAGTTTTCCGTTGGGTTTCTCTTTCACGACTATTGAGTTGACCCAATCAGTTGGTTGTGTGACTTGGTTTATGACTCCTTTCTCGACCATCTCGTTTAACTGCTCTCTTAGCTTCTCTCTGAGCTCTAGGGGAACACGTCTTGGAGGGTGAACCACTTGTTCCACGGTTGGATCGACCGTGATGTGGTATTCTTCGTCAAAGCATCCTACGGTGTTGTCAAAACACTCGGGATACATCGCGATACATTCTTCTTTGTTCCTGATTGGTGGTCTGTCCTTGATAGGTACATCGCTGTCAATTCTCTGTGATGTCTTGACTTCGTGATTGATCCTGATTATGTCGAGCTGTTGACATGCTTTCAGGCCTAGGATGATAGGTCCTTCTGCCTTGGTGATGAAGAAAGAACACTTGACTTTTCTTCCTTTGTGCTTTCCTTCAATCTGTGCTTTGCCCAGATGTGGGATTCTAGCTCCACCGTATGCAGTGAGGATCACATCACTGGGTGTGAGGATTCCACTCTTGACTCTGCCGTCTTTCATCATGTGTTCTGGGCATAACTTTGCATAATGCTGAATAGGCATGACGTTGCTCTGTGCACCCGTATCAATCTTTAGCTTGAGATCGATGTTGGTTGTCTTCCTGCCTAGCTTCTTTCTGATTTGAAAGCTAGTGTATGCTTCGTCTTGGCTCTTTTGCTCTTTGTTACCCATATCATGGATATAGACTGTACCAATTGTCAGGGATTCTCCTTCTGACTCTGAGCTGAGCTGATCCTCTCTTTGGAGGTGGACATGCCTTTGCTTTTGCTTCCCATATCTTCTGGGTTGTTGTGGCTTATTCTGGGTAGGCTGAGGTCTGTTTTTTGCTCGGCACATTTTCCCCCAGTGGTTTGGCTTGCCGCATGCATTGCAATTAGATCCATATGCTGGGCATTTGGCCCTGTCACCAAACTCGTGTGTGTTACCACAATATCTACAGCTCTTTGTGCTCTGTTTGTACGTCTTGTACATGTGGGGTTGCTTCTGTTTGGACCCTGCCTGGTATGTCTTCTTTGAGACTGCATCTACCCTATTACTGCTAGACGTGCCTGTCTGCATGGATAGAGAGGACATCTGTTTCTGGGTCGCTTCAAAGGCCCTGGCTGTGTCCATGGCGTCCTTCAGTGTCAGGTCAGGTTTCCCCACGAGGGTTTTCTGCACCTTCTTATGTATGCAGCCCCAGATCAGTTGGTCAACTAATCTGTCCTTTGTTTCTGCATCGTCTTTGAATTTGCATTTCTTTGCTACGTTTTTCAATCTTGCTACGTAGTCGTCAATGGGCTCGTCGGGCTTCTGTTGTATGCCCTGGAATTCATACCGATAGATCCTATGGTTTGTCTTGGGTTCCAAATGTGTTTCAAACTTCTCTAGGATTTTGTCTGGCTTCTTAGCGTCTCCCGCGTCTGTGAATTCCCAGCTGTTAAATAAGTCGAGACCTTGGGATCCAACCCACAACAGAATGTAGCTCACCTGTTGCTCTGGTTCTGTGTCTTTCAGGAAGCTCTTGAAGGCCAGTTCTGTTTTCTGCTTGAATTTCTTGTACTCTTCTACTAGGTCATCGGCATCCCAGTTCATGGAGGGGTGGAGGTGTCCGTTTGCTGCTGCCATCCTGGGTCTGTTTTTCCGAGGAATGCCCTGGCACAGTCTTCTCTCTTCCTCTCCCTCTTAACAATGGTTTACCGCTGCCACCATGTTGTGCGTTCTTGTCTATGGATGGCTATCATAGACGCTCGATTCAAGCAGATAGATCAGTCGGAGTGAGAGTCGACTTGAAACTTTATTCTACAAGTACTCCAGATGTTCTCAACTCTAATGTCCCATGATGCTTTGTTCACATATATTATGTAGGCAAGGCCCTTCAACTTCTGACCTCAGCGACTTGCCTGGAGAAGCTAGGAAACGTTCCCACTGGTGTTCCATCGCCTATTGGGAACACATGATTCAAGTTGGACGGCTCTTTGCCGTGTACGACGCCAGCGTAAATATCTTTCACGAACTACCTCACGGCGACAGCTACAAAAACGTGGTCAGAACTCGAAAAACGATCGGTTACTGGTTTAAGTTGTCGAAGGAAGTGGATGGCGTCTGGGCGTACAACCAGAGTGGCCACACCATCTTTCTGAACTCTCCCACGCTAGGTATTCCGATCTCCAGGACGTTAATCGTGCGCAAGATTCCGCCTGGATTCAACATCAAGTTTTTCAACTACGAGAGGCCGGAAATGTTGCAAAGAACTTCGCACTCTGACCTTTAGGACGGGCCGTACGACCCAAACTCGGTTCGGATCAGCTTCGCGAAGAGCTGGGGCCTTCCTTACTCCAGACAGTTCATAACCGCCTGTCCCTGTTGAGTAGAAGTACTACTCAATATCAATCAATGATAATTGTATAGTCCTCCAGATCTAATATAACATTTTATTGGAGCTTCACCCACACCACGTAGTGGTGGGTGAAGCTCCTTTGTTTTTACTAATGTTTCTCCTCCTCCCCCTCCTCCTGTCATTTCTTTCAAGCGTTTGAACTCAGCCGTTTTTCAGCGGAATGACCTGAAATTTGGCAGGAAGGTAGAGTGGTGGCCCACCTCCAGCCGTGTTTTTCATTTTTTGGATAAAGGCTTTCAAAATTGTTTTATTTTTGTTTTTTTTTGCCATTTTTCGACAAAATCTATACATTTCTGGCCCTGGAGACCTAGCATTACACCCAAATGATCTGAAATTTGGTATGGCTATGCTTCATATATTTACCAACAACAATCCATTATAATTTTTGGCACACACCCCTTTAAAATTGTATAATTGGACAACACTTTTTGACTGTTTTCAGGTCCAAAATCACTGTACAGTGGGGGTGTGAGTCATACACATTGGAATGCAGGCCTGCCAGGCCATGAGCCAATAGGCATGCAGCTTCCATTACGGTAGGCTTATGTTAATTTGGCGCTGATTGGCTGTGGGGCTAATAAGTTTAACTGACTGGGCCACCTGCATTATATTGACAATGGGAACTGCATTGAAGTGTTTTAAGTACTACTAGGCGTGTAAATGTAACTTTCCTGCTCCAGCATTGGAATGCGGGCCCCCAGGGTAAATGTTTTTCTTTATTACCTTATCATTTCATTAAATGGTTCAACTTTTACTGCCAAATGACCTGAAATTTTCAATCAAGCAGATACAGGGTGGCAAGGATATGTAAACTTTAAGCAGATACAGTTTGTCATGGATCCTGTCAAAAGTGCGAAAATTTGTACTAATGACTGGGTGACCCTGATAGCACGTACTGTATGGGGGTTTCGAGAACACTTTTACTGAAAATGGGGTTTTGAGCACTGGGGTTTTGACAACACCTAATACTGAAAAACACAACATGGGGGCTTTGTGAATACTTGGTACTGAATAGCACTAGCGTGGGGGTTTCGAGAAGATTTTACTTCAAAGCACTGTAT